AGTATGAAGGTTAATAGTAGTATATGTAATGATTGTGGAAGAAACGCACGAAATGTATTTGTAACCAATCAACACGCGTTGTACAAGATGTAATGAAAGATGATTCTTTTTTTGTGTTTTTGTTTAATTAAAACAATAAAACTTTTAAAAAAAAACATATTTTCCTACAAAATTTCAGCTCAGGTAAGAAAGAGCACATAATCTTGAGGGCAAAGCAGGTAGAAAAATAACTAAAGAACTAGAGATTCTTTGAAATCCAATCATATTTATTGTTATGAAGTGATAGTAAGCAGCACTTTTAGGGGAAATATGCTAATTGAAGGAAAGTTAAACACTTTACTTGCTCTATCATCTTTTGATCTGTGGGTAGAGTGATCATTTAAAAAATAAAAATGATTAAATACCTTTATCCTTTCTATTTAGGAGAAAATAGGTTGTAATTTAAACAGATTTTTGAAGAGATAGAAGCAGGGTTGTGATCTCATTATTTTGTATAGGGAATAATTTTAATATTTGCAAAACATGTTTTCAAATATTACATTATGACTTTAGTGAACAATGCAATTTTCAGAGATTTGCATAGCATGGACATTCCATTTACCTTTTCAATAAGTAAAAGAAAAAAACATAGTACCAAGTTCCCAGGATTTCCTATATTCAGGACTGTCAAAATATTTTGAGTTTTGTTTTATATGTTTTATGGTATAAGACAACTCATATGCAATGTTTCCAGGGAAAGTTATTCCTTTCTGAATTTAAATGAATTTTTGTCATAATATCTATCCTTCCTTCTTACTATATTTGCAAACAATTTTTTGAAAACAGCAAAAGTGATAATGCTCCCAAGCTAAAAGTCTTTCGTGCCTATAACTGCTGTATCAGCAATTCTTCCAACTCAGACGTTTTCTTTATTATTTATTTTGGTATTAGGACTACAATAGGGCTGTGGAAATGGAGATTATCTTGCTTATAAGCCTGATCAACAGTGAAGGTCAGCGCTTGGTCACTAAAATCTGTTTTTGCTGTATAGTCTGATCTCATAGGTATAAGTGCTAATGCGTTAAAATAAAAGTGTTATGCAATATATGCAAAATAAATCCCAATACTCTTACAAAAGCAAGTTAGTTTTCTAGGGATTTTTAAAATAATATAACCCAAAAATGTGTTTTATTTTTAGATAATCTAGCCAGAAGGGTGAGATTTTGGGGGAATTCAATTTGTCAAATGCACAGCTTACTGCTTTTCACTCAACTGCAAGAATCCTTTTTGCTGTAGTGTGACACCTTAACAGTAATTTCCTACCAGATTTTTATACATGGTAAGTTTCTCAGTGATACTGGAACTTCCAAGGTTGCACTGAATTAATTTCAGGCATACCTTTTTAGATGGTTAAAAGCTATGCTTTGTGGGAGCTATTTTACACAATGGAGATATTATATATCCTTTGGAATGCTTACTAAAAAAAGGATTAAAATTATTTGCAGAAATTGTTATAGTGTTCAGTTAGGAACCAGAAAGCTGCAAAGGTGCTTGGTCCTGAATGGGCTGGGCCCTTCAAACCAAAATATTCATTAAAAAAAACTATATTATAAATAAATGCCCAAAATATGTATGATTACAGATAAATTTATAATTACAAAAATTGCTAATCTTTTCTATAACAAAATAATGCATCATTCAAGATCAGGACAAAATATAAAATAATAAATATTTTCTAGTAATTATGCTTGTTCTAGGATTAACATTACATATGTTCAACAATGCATGTAAACTTAAATGTATATCCATAAAAAGTGCCCCATGCTATTAAGTTATAAAACAAAAGCGATCCCGACTGTAACCTCAAATTGTCCTCAGAAATAACACTACAAATTTCACACTTATTTCTATAGATGTCCCATTTTAATTATAAACATTTCCCACTTTAATAATATTTTAGTCACTGTCCTATTCACTGTGAACTTCAGTATTTAAAATAAAAAAGAATAGAATTTCTAACTGCATCACTAAATCATTATAAGTAGCATACAAAATCATATTAAGTAACAGTTCCATCTTAAATCTGGGGTGAGGAGGAATTACCTTGTATGAAATTCATCATGATATATTCAAATAATACTATGGAATTATATCAATGTTCAACAAAAGATATGGAAATACAGTGGCTCAATGATGTTGGAGATGGCCAAGTCCAAGTCCAAGCACTGTCTGGCAGGGTGAGCTTCTATCACTGCCTTAGCTTCTGTCCAGTTTGAAAGTGTGTTCTATGCAAGTAGACAGATAGGTAGCACTTCAGTGGGAGGACGACCTGGTTGCTCTTTTCAGACAGACAGATTTCTGATGACTCTGAACCTTCCTGGTTGCCATACCTGTTTCAAGGCATCTCTGAGAAGGGAAGGGCCTTCGGTGATACTGCAAGAAGAGCTGCTCATATTTGTCTCTGGTGCAAAGCCACCTTGCCCTCCTATGATGCACCTTGTGAAGCATACTTTTATGTTCTGAGGGACAATAACTGAGGAGACCGGTGAACATCAACAGGAACGTTTATTAACTGAACTAGAACAGGCAAAGAAAAGTGAACCCTGTCTGACAGCTATTTATACTTGTAGCTGTCATATGGGGAACCAATGAGAAGTCCCGGTTTCTCCCGCCGGCTGACTGGCATGTCCTGGCCACTCAGAGGCGATTTACACAGCGCCATCTGCTGGCCAGGACACAACACCAAGATTGAGCACACGTAGTCGCAAAGGTACTCGGGAAGTCTGTGCACGCGCTGTGATCTTCTCTCTAAAGGTGTGGCTGCCGCCGAAGAAGGAGTAGTGCTGGACCCACCGCTCCGCTGGATTGGCCATGAGAGCAGCGCTGGAGGGCCCACCCCGATCAAGGCGCCAGTTTCTAAAGGTGAGTTCCCCGACGAGAACGTGGCAGGAAACGCGGACTCAGAGATAGAGTTTTTGCATTGGTCTGGCTGACAGATGGCGTTGGTAGGGCCTGTTGTTTCTGGAACAGCCGGACGGTTCATTGGCCCCTCTGTATTTCGCCGACGGAGCTGGTCTACATGCCTCCGCCAATTTCTCCCATTGTCAAGGAGGACCCTGTAGGAACAGGGCCCGGTTATCTCGGTAACGTGCCCGGGCAACCACTTCAGGTCGCCCGCAAAATTCCGGGCGAATACTCCCTCTCCCACCAGAAAGGCCCTAGGTGGGTTAGGTTGAGAAAAAGAAGAAGGGGTGTAGTGGGGGTGCAGGCGGTCCAACATGGTGTGGAGTTTCTTGCCCATGAGTAACTTGGCAGGGCTCTTTCCTGACAATGGGCAGGGAGTGGTGTGCTGAGAACGGAGATAGGTAGAGATCCGGGTAGACCAGGGCAGCGGACCCATGTGACTGAGGGCCTCTTTGGCTGAGCGGACAGCGCACTCTGCCAGCCCATTCCCAGCAGGGTGGAACGGGGCCACAGGCACATGGTGGATACCCAAACCGGACAGGTAGTGCTGGAACTCTATGGAGGTGAACTGTGGGCCATTGTCCGACACTAACACGTCTGGCAGGCCATGGGTCGTAAAGAGGGAATCCAAAACACGGATGGTAGTGCTGGAGGTCATGCTCTTCATGGGAAAAAGCTCAACCCATTTAGACCAGGCATCTACCACTATGAAAAGGGTGAGACCAGCCATGGGGCCCAGGAAGTCGACATGAATTCAACTCCAAGGGGCCATGGGCCGGTCCCAGTCCCTGTGCGGTGCGGCAGGAGGCACTGGGCGCACACTTTGACAATGCGAACAGGCCTGCACCCAGGCCTTGATGTCCGCATCCATGGAGGGCCACCAGACATACCCCGGCCCAGACTTTTCATCTGGACTATGCCTGGGTGGCCTTCGTGGAGGCAGGTGAGGACAGCATGGCAAAAAGCGGGAGGAACAACAACGCAGTTGCCCCACAGAAGGCAGCCCTGGAGGACGGACAGTTCTGTGCGGCGGCAGAAGTAGGGAAGAAACTGAGCCTCCCCAGAGCTGGCAGGCCAGCCCCGGTGGACGGCATCAATGACAGAGGAGAGGACAGGATCAGATAAGGAGGCTTGCGCTATGTCAGAAGTGGACATAGGCAAGTGAAGGTCCTCAATGAGGCAAATTGACTCGGTAGAGGCAGGGTCAGAGAGCAAGGTGGGCAAGGGGCAGCGGCTTAAGGTATCCACGTGGCCCATATGGCAGCCTGGCTTGTGCACTAGGATGTAGGAATAGGCCATCAGAAACTCTGGGAGAAATAATAGGAGGGGTAGGCCGGTCCCCCACAAGGATCCCCAGTAGGGGCTTGTGATCTGTGATGACAGTAAAGGGGCGGCCATATAAGTAATGGTGAAAGTGCTTTACCCCTGCAATGGTGGCTAGCGCCTCCTTATCCAACTGGCTGTAATTGCGCTCAGTCTTGGATAAGGTGCAGGAGTAAAAGGCAATCAGGGCCTCCGACCCGTCAGGCTAGGTGTGGCTGAGGACAGCCCCGACTCCTAAGGGGGAGGCATCACAGGCAAGGAGTAAGAGCCGATGCTCATCGTATTGAGCCAGAACTGGGGGGGGGGGGGGCAGTCAAGGCACGTTTGACAGCCGCGAACACATTTATACTTCTAGCTGTTAGATGGGGAACCAATGAGAAGTCCCGGTTTCTCCCGCCGGCTGACTGGCGCATCCTGGCCAATCAGAAGCAATCTACACAGCACCATCTGCTGGCCAGGACACAACACATGCAAGTGTGTCCTATAACAGGGCTGCTACCTTGGCAAGCCAAACTATTATTCTGCAATAGCATTGTGATCTGGCTACTCTAACAATGCCATATGCTAATAATAATAATAATTTACAAAGGACAATAAATTTACTTCGCTTTTTTGAGCATGGAAATAAAATAAAGATTGAAGTTGGTTCCTATTTACTTCATAGATCTTTTTTCCTGGCTACAATAGAAAAAGGATTTGCCATTGTCTTTTTTCAGGAATAGCCTACAGTCTTGGTATTCCTCATTGGTCTTCCATCCATGTATTAATGAGGCCAGACCTTGCTTAGCTTTTCAACTCAAGCAAAGTCATCCTTGTGCTACCATCTATGTTTTCTAAATACATCTTCTGTTTTGCTCATATTTGGCATATTCGCAGAGGTATTTCATAATGCAAATATAAATACATACTAAAATGTTTTTCATTATCTTGCTTTCTGTATGCTCTCCCACTAAGATTTTAATGAGCTTTTCATGTGAAAGTTATCAAGGGACTGTGACTGAAAAACAGCAGCAATTAGAATATATAAAATAGATGTACTGCAGGATTTGGGAATGTAAATCCATTAGTTTTGCACAAAGCTTCTTGGGGGAAAGCCTCTGCTTGCATAGTTTATAGATGTTAAGAAGACCAATATTAATTTTCTGTGACAATGACACACACTGGAACGTGTTTCTGATTGATTAAGCAATGAAAATCAGGCCTTTTGAGCCAATATCTCATACTCCTGAGATCTGAGAAGCTTAAATTCTTTTCTGAAGGCAATGGAGTCCTAATAAGAGGGAGAAAAAATGTAATTCCAAAATTGAGTTCCTTTTACAAGAACCATATATTTTCTAAAACAAGATTTCCAGTTTTGTGTCTGATGAGTGGATTCTGTACTGCCATAACTTTTAGCTCTCAAATCCTCTGCAGAGATTGGAAGAAGATCCTTGATTGTCTTCCTTTCTTGTAACTTGAAATGTTGAGAACAAGCAACAAAAATCAACTGCTCCATGATCAAGGAAAAATAAATCCATTCTCACAAAATCAGAGGAAAAGAAAAAGAAAAAAATCTGCAGCTCAGAAATTGGCAGGATTGGTCACTGAAAAGTTTCCTCTATGAGGAAATAGAACCACCATGGAGAAAGAAGAAATCCACTCCCCTAGTTTCACTGCAATTGAATTGGAAGTAAACCAACTTACTTAGTTCTACAGTGTTGCTGATGGCATGAAAACATAGGTACTTTCAAACTACGCAGTTTGAAATCTTCAGTCTATACTGAAGATTTCAGTAACATATGTGTTAAATGTATTTTGTATTTTCTTCAAAAACCTCCAGTGCCATAAAAACCTAATTCCTATTTATTCTTCGTAATATTTGTTGGATATTAAGAGATGATAAATCAGCCTAAGGCAATGCAACTCAGTATTTCATGACTATGGAAATGAATCTTCCCCCCTCTCCTCCATTTTTTAAATCTTTCTCGATTCTTTTCAGATTCTTTTTTCTATTTTTTTTCTTTTATTGTCTTTTGGTTTTCATCATTTCCCCCCCTTATTTTCAAAGATTGTTTTGCTAAATGTATATGCTAAGAATACAAACTACAAACGAATATCTGAAAAAAATGGTTGAGCAAAGTTTGGATCTGAGTTAAATTTTCTTATATTGCAAAAAGATCTATTATAATTCCAACAGCCATGGTGGAGCAGTGGTTAGAATGAAGTACTGCAGGCCAGCAGTTCAGCAGTTCAATTCTCACTGGCTCAAGGTTGACTCAGCCTTCCATTCGCCTGAGGACAGTCAGTAAAATGAGGACCCAGATTATTGGGGCAATTTGATGACTCTGGAAACCATTTAGAGAGGGGTGTAAAGTATATAACTCTAAGTGCTATTACTATTTAACTGTGGTAACAAATATTAACAAATATTAAGAGAAAAAGACATCACACCTGTTCTGCCTTTGGGGGAAAATAAGCAGTAGGTTTTTAAAAATTATGAATTTTAATGTCTTTGAAAAAAAATATGTTTTGTTTATTTATCACAGAGGCTTTCCCAAAGTAGTGATTTCCAGTTGCATTGGGACTACTTCTTCTAGCATAATCCATTCAGTATTGCTAACCCAATTGAAAGACACCTGATTGGAGAATGCTGATTAAAAAAATCACCTGATTATAAGTGCACAGGTACTCAACTGAAATCTTTGCTAAATTTGTAAAAACCAGGTAGTATATTTTTGAGTGATGTTTTCTAATGACATAGAAAAGTAACTTAAATGATATCCAAGAATGGAATTAAACACTGAAGATTGACAATCAATCATTAGATAATGTACTTTGTGCCATTTAGCAGCAATCAAAATTAAAGGAATTATTTAATTCCATCAAGTTGCTCAGCTGTGTCATGTTCGCAAGGAAGAGCTCAGTCAATTTAACTATGAACAAGAAAACAAAGAGCTACAATAAAATTTGCACTGGCATTTGCAGTGAAAAATCAAAAAGCATGCCTCAAGTGTTGCTATTTAAATATGGCTGCAATTCCAAACATGAGAGATTAAAGATCCCATCAGCAGGAAGATATGACAACAATAAATATTTACATGTCAAAAAGAATTTAGAGACCATCAAGTGTGGTCAAACCTGGCTATTTGTTCCACTGAGATAATCTAGTGTTATATAGCCAATACAC